ATTTTATTTTATTTAAAAATATTAAATTATCAAATAAATCAAAAATCCAAGTTAAATGTTAAATCCCTTACCATGTAAGCATGACATGTCAATATTTTACCATCTAAGCAGCCAAGCGGGGTGTATCCTCAACAGCAGTTAAGTCAGGCAAGCAATCCCAAACGGCAGTTAAGTCGGCGTAAGAAGAAAGGCTTAATTGCTTTGATCCCAGAGTTCAAGGACTTAACTGTATCAATTAAAGTCTACAAACTTAATAGCGAATTTGGGGTTAGTTCAGGGGCTTAACTTATGGTTTTGCCTAGGAAATATCAGAGAAACATAATTGCATTGGCCAACTAGATATCCATATGCGCGTTATGGCTATCGTGGTGTCTCTGGTCCATAAAAACAGGGCTGCATTTCGATTCTTCCTCATCTGTGCTCAGTTTTCTCACAAACATCATTTCTATTTGTCTCTCAGGATCCTCTTGCGTTTGCTATCTTTCTGTGTGGCTAAGCATTTTAGGATCAGATCTGGTAAGTGATTTCGTTTTATTTGCAGATTCTTCATCAACATTTCAACCTATTTTTAGGCCAGTTGCTGCTACAATCTGTGTTCTCTTAACACTATTCCCCTTTTCCTTTGCAGGGTTTAATTGTGCTAGCCGTCTTTCTCTGCGTCTGTAAGCATAATGGCTGAACTGATCCTCAACTTCGTCACCCCAATCATAGAGAAGGCAGTTTCTGAAGCAATCTCACTTGCTGCTGCACAAATCAGCATGGCATGGGGTCTGGAGAAGGAGCTGAGGGAGCTCGCTCAAACACTAACTATGATCCAAGGATTGCTTCAAGATGCTGAAGGGAGGCAAGAAAGCAATCCAGCCGTAAGGAATTGGTTACAGCAGCTCAGAAATGTAGCTTATGATGCGGTGGATGTACTGGATGAGTATGGTTATGAGGTTCTTAAGCACAAAGTTCAGACTCGGGGCCGAAGGAGGAAACAGGTGTGCACCTTCTTTAGTCTTTTCAATCGCACTGCCTTTCGTCTTAGCATGGCTGATAAGATTAGGAAGATTAATAAGACCCTAGTTAAAATCAACAACAATGGGGTTGCGGTTTTGCTGATCAGATTTAACAACCAAAGTCATTCCACTGCTGGTGCAAGGCAATATCCTAAGACAGATTCCATCCCTGATTGTTTAAAATTTGTAGGAAGGGATAATGATGTCTTAGAAATTGTCAACAAGCTGGATAACATAAGGAGTCAACATCTCCTTTCTGGCATTTCAATAGTAGGCTTGGGGGGCATAGGCAAGACAACATTAGCAAAATCAATATGCAGTATGGTAAAAGAACAAAAGTTGTATGATCTGGTGGCTTGGGTTTGTGTGTCCGAGGAATTTGATGAGAAAACAATATTAGGAGATATGTTAGAATACCTTGATGGCTTTGTTGGTCGGATGGATAATATTGATGCACTTATTCAGAAGCTTGGGCAGGGGTTAGAAAATAGAAAATTTCTTCTAGTTCTTGATGATGTGTGGAATGATGATAGAGACAAGTGGGATAGTTTCAAATCTCGTTTGTTAAAAATTTTAAAAACCAGTGGAAACTCCATTCTTGTGACTACTCGTAGTGATAAGGTAGCATCCACAATGGAGGCACTTCCAATGCAAAAACATGATATGGTAAAGTTATCAGATCATGAATGTTGGGAGATAATTGAGGACGTAGTTCTCAGATCATCAACAAAAACTTCAATACCTTTGGATTTACACTACTGCAGGAATGGGATATCCGGACCGAAATATCGGTCCGGATATATTACCAATCGGTATGAATATATATATACGGATCGATATTGGTCCTTATAGTTGATTTGAAAAAACCTGGTACGAATAAGTATAATATACAGACCGACGTATAATCGGTCTGTATATTTCAGTAAGAAATATAAATAATTATTGACAAATTGAAATAAGCGGACCGAAATTGGTCCCAAAAAAATTATATAATAAAATAATAACATATATACGAATCGACAACAGTCTGTAACTGTGGTGGAAAGAGACATCGCAAATATATACGGACCGGGATCGGTCCGAATATTGAGGACCCAGCTGCAACTTTTAAAACTTGCAACTATATCCAGACCGATTCCGGTCTGAATATATTGGACTTGCCTGCAACTTTTAAAAGTTCCGTATCCCGACGGGCGCCATTCTCAAACTATATACAGACCGTTTTCGGTCCGAATATTGTGGACTTGCTTGTAACTTTTAAAAGTTCCGTCTCCCAACAGGCGTCATTCTATAAATATATCCAGACCGTTTTCGGTCCGAATATTTTGGACTTG